GCCAGTTCCCTCTCTCTGGACCTGGGGGCGTTGGCATCCACAAGTTAGCTCCCTAGTCTTTAGCTACCTGTGGTGAAGACCTAGAGAGACCCCGAGCAGGCCTGTCACTCTTCCCAGGCAGTGGGTTGGCTGGGATTGTGATGAGGGATTTCATCCCCAGCCCCCTGCACCCCCGACCCGCTTAGCGTCACCCAGACAGCACCCTGACTTCTCCCCTGAACCAGGCTTGGTTTGTGTCCCCCACCTCGCTGCTCTCCGCCCGGTACCTTCCCTGCGGTGGGGTCCCACGTGTGCCCGCCGGTGTCTGGCTGCGAGGAAAGCTGGGATGTGCCGAATCGAGCTATTTTTACCCAGTCCTGTCCCTGCAGAGCTGCTCTTTGGCTCTGAGTTACCGCCTGGGAAGTGGAACTACGGCCAGGGCTGGGGATGGATGAGCCGGAGCCTCGGAGCCTCCTGGCCTCCCCTGCCCAGCCTGTATCTCAGCCTGACACTAAACTGTGTGATTAGCGTGCAGACGGAGTAAGTGGAAGATGGCCCCAGTGGGGAGAAAGGAAGCACCTGCACCTCTGTAACTTGCAAACTTCGGGCTTCCAGAAGCTTGAACCCAGCCAGCATCCACCTGGTGTGTCACTGGGGGTCAGCGGGATAGGGTCCCAGGGGGCTGGATAGAGGCCATCAGGCCTGGAGACACCCTGGTTTTCTTCTCTCAACACAGTGAAGACCATAATAGCTCAGATTTATTGATCCTTCTCTGTGTGCTTAGCACGTGTACTAACTCGTTTCCTGATGACCAGTAACTCCCTTCTGCAGATGGGGAAACTGAGGCACGGAGCAGTTCAGTAAACCTAAGGTTGCAGAGCTGAGGGGTGGAGCTGGGGTTTAAACCCAGTCAGTCCACCTCCAGAGCTCGCTGCCAACACCGTTCTGCCCCCCTCTCTTCTCTGCCATGTTCCCAGTACCCGCGAGGTACGGGGCAGCGCTCTACGTAGGTTCTCTGTGGCTGTCTTGCCAGCTGGCTGTTTCCAGCCCTGTTTTTAGATGAGGCTCAGAGACTGAACAGCTTGCCCAGGGTTGCACAGTGGCCAGTGAATGAGCCAGGCAGGCACCGAGGCCTCGGGGTTACTGCAGCTGGGCTCTTCCCAGTGCCCCGTTCTGCCACGCAGTTTGCGGCCACAGGTACCCACCACTCACCTGCCATGTGCCCCCTGTGATGCCGACTGCTGGGGGTTCGGACGCAGACGTCCCCGTGGTGACCTCCTTGAGGGCCCGCCTTCTCACAGGGAATGTGGAAGCGGGGTCCCTTGGAGTCCATGCCCTAGCTGCCTCGAAAATGGAGTAGTGGTGTGCGTGACTTGAAGATGGATTGCCACTGGGGCGGTTGGGGGATGGGGAGGACCAGATGAAGTCCTCAGGTCTGGGCCCTGCCGTAGCCCCCTCTGGCAGTGTGGACGGCAGGGCATTGTTGGCCCTTCTGAGGCCGGGATGACCTCTCCCACCATGGGTATTTTTTTTTTAACCAGCTGTTGAATTCAGCCCATGCCAACTTCCTACAGAGGAAGGGGTGACTTTGGAGCCTTCTGGCAGGCAAATACTGCCCTCCCTGGAGAGGGGCCTCCATGGCCAGCCTATGTGCCTCTGGGTTCCCACCTCTAGCCTGGCCCAGCTGCGTCCAGTCCCAGCCAGAGACGGGCTGGGGATATGGAGGGGGACGCTGGAGATGCAGACCTGCCCTTCCAGAGCAGTTGGTTAGGGCCTGTTTTCCCAGCTGCAGGCCTCCGATCTCTCTAGAAACCCTTGGTTTCTGATAATTCCCCAGACCTAGCCTCTTGAGGAAGGCGTACTTCCTAGTCTCCAAGCTGATGAGTAGTTAGTGGCCTGTCTAGCACCTTCCAGCTACCACCCATGCTTTGCCTCCTTTCCTGAGGTGTTTGGGATCAGAGCAGGCTGTGCCCACTTCCAGCAGCACCCCTCCCAGGCCCGGTGCTACACCAGGCCCTTCTCCAGAGGGCCCAAAGGGATGGGAGCAGGCGCAGGACATTCCCGAGGGAGGAGCAGGGGTGACGGGACCACTTTTGTCCAGGACAAATGCCAAACCAGTACTGACTGTCTCGACCAACCAGGGTATCTAGTTACTTTTCTTATAGCTGTCTTTATATTATTTGAATTTAGGAGGAAACTACTAGAAAGGGTTTTGGAGTCCTAAAATTTTTAACTCACCTTGGGCTAACCACAGTGGGATGAATGAAAAGGTGTTAATATGGGGAGGTAATTGATTTTAAGAGAAAAGGCTGGAGGTTGAGAGTCTGCATGCATGTGTACATGTGTGTGCACACGTGCGTGCATGCGTGCGTGTGTGCGTGCGTGTGTAGCGAGGGGATGCTGAGGGGCCAGGACTCCACATGTCAAGAGCCTGGCTTCTGTGGCAGGAAGTCCTAGGGCAGTGCCGGCCCACTCTGAGCCTCATCTTCCCAGGTGTCCCATGAAGACTACGAATCCTGTTCGCATCCTGGATCTCCTCTGGGGCTATAGTCAGGGCCAGCTGGGGCTGTGTGTGTGGGAGACAGACCACCTGCTTTGTCGACTGTGAAGGGCCAGGCACATGTGGACTCTGCTCAGTCAGAGGATAAAATTATGCCTGAGAAGAGGGTGGTCTTTTTGTGTGGGAGTGACCCCTGTGGGGGCATCTGACCCCTCCCACCCGCCTGTGGCTGAGGACAGGCCATTCTTTCCTCTTGGCCCAGCTGTTGGGAGTGGGTATGTTGCTCTAGGACATCCGGTGAGAGAGGGCCGTGGTCCCCACCTGCCTGTCGTGAGCTGGGTGTCTCTGGGCAGAGTGCCTGGCAAAAAACGGGGCCTCTACATCTACGTGTCCAAGGGAACAAACATGAATTAGCCACCGGCAGGCCGGGCCGAACACCTGCAGAGCGTGGCTGCTGGTCCCCATTCAGGGCCCTGCCTGCCTCCGGGGAGTGTGCTGGGCAGCAGACCCCCAGGACCCCTGACGACCGAACTTTGGTGAGAGCAGTATAGGCACCGGTACCCCACAGTCCAGTCCTGCCCTGCCACCAACTCCCATGGGGCCCCAGGCAAGTCCCCCCGACTCATGGGGAAAAGGAGACCCAACTCTTGGGGCTGTAAAGACCAGAAGTGGCCATGGACTCCTGGAAGCCCTGAGGCAGGCCTTCCTCGCAAGCGCTAAGCTCCCGCTGCCGCCATGGCTGAGAAGGCAGAGAGCTCGCAGGTGAAGGAACAGAGCTGGGCACTGCCCCTCTGGGGGCCCCCCCGCTCTCCCCGCTGGGCTGCCTGGCCCCCGCCTGGCCCGCGGTGGGAAGCAGGTGGCGCGGGCGGGAATGCCAGGCTCCACACTTACCAACACACTCCTCTGATGCGCACTCTTCTCGTTATCACCCCAAGATGCAAAATGCGTGACGTGTGGGTTGCAGTGGAGCCAAGCCGGTGGTGGCCAGAGAGGTAGGGGGCCCTCGGCCTGCTGGCCGGAAGAGCTCTGGAGTTCTGGCAGGCTACCTTCTGAGCTTGTGAATACCCTCGTTCGTGAACTGGGGTTAAGAAGCCCCGTTCTGAAGCGTTGTCATGAGCCCACAGACTCTGTGCTAATGTTCAGCTCTGTCTCTGGACCTTGGGGACTGCTTAGTACATGGTGGTTTCTCCTGGGACGCAGCTTCAGGCTTGCCGGTGAGGGGACCTTGTTTAGGGCCCCAGATCCAATGAGGCTGGGAGCCGTGTGGGATTGGATGAATGACCTCGAGGTGGAAAGGGCCATGTGAACACTAGGGGTGGTTTTAATTACCCAGCCCCTCGGCCTCCACAGTCAGGGGACCCTGGCGGCCTGATGCCAACTTTATTAGTCCATCTGATGCTTGGCCCGAGTCAGGGCACAGGCAGGAGCCAAGCTCATTAATTGTCATCTCTCCTTAGGCCAGGAAGTCTTGGCTAGGAGAGACCGCCAGGAGGGCTGCCTGCCTCTCTTCTAGGGGGGCCCAGCCAAGCCTGTCACTGACCACCTCCCTCACATGTGCCTGATCCTGTTCTCATCCCAGGCACCTGGAGGCCCTGCCCAGGCTCTGTTCGGTCACGCCTCTCATAGTCCTGGGGCTGCAGGGAGCACCTGTCACAGAGGGCTCTGCCAGCCATCACCGGGGAACACACCTGAGAACCTCGGGAGTAGCTTGACATCTCAGAGGGGAGCAGGGGGAGGCAGGGCCCCCTTGGAGGTGGCAGCTCCAAGAAATTGTTTGTAGAGAGCTGCCTCTCAGACCAGGTGCGCTCTGAATAAAGCCAGAGCGCTTAACCTGGAAGGTGAGGTTCCAGCAAGTATGTCTCGTGCTGACATTGGGCTGGGCCGTGCTGGGCACCGGGGACCACCCCCAAGCTCAGAATCGAAGGGCCCAGTGTTCTTACTCCCCAGCATGGCTGGGGTGGGCCCCAGCAGACTGCCCCTCCCAGGCTGAAGCCCCGTCCTTTGGCCAGGATTCATTCGCTGAGGTCCTCCTGTGTGACACCGTTATCCTCTGAGATCCCATTGTCTTTCCCAATTTCGGGGGAGAACTGCGCTTCACAGAGGTCACCTGACACACCTGGAATCATGGCAGGCAGATTCCATGCTGTTCCAGCTCTGTTAGGTCGGGGTTGTCACTCTTGAGGGCCATTCTTTACAGCTCTGCCCTTAACTCCATCACAAAGCATTTGGCTGCTTATGCAGACCGTGATGGGGACCCTGACGAGGCTGTCCAGGTGCCCTCAGCAATGTAGCCGGCCCCCTCTCCATAGATGGTTGTCCCCAGGGCTTCTGGCAGCTACTGTGAGAGGTCCCAGACAGATCACCTGCCAGGCATTCCTGTTCTCAAGGTCCTGGGGTCTGGGCCTCCCTGTCCCCCACCCTCTGCTGTTCCTGGCCCTGCTGACATCCTTGCGGTCTGATGAGGTGTGCTGGGCCCCAGGGAGCCAATCTCACTCATTCTGTCCCTCTCTGTCTTTCCCAGGGCAGCGAGGTGCCAGGCCTGACCTTTGCTGATGGCGAGCTCCTCCCCAGGGACCCCGGCTTCTTTCCCGAGGACGAGGAGGAGGCTATGACACTGGCTCCACTCGAGGGCCCCCCCGAGTCAGACATGGACAGCCCCATGGAGAGCACCCAGAGCCTGGAGGGGTCAGTCGCTGAGGAGAAGGACGGAGGTCTCGGGGGCCTGTTCCTGCCAGAGGACAAGTGAGTCTGTCTGGAGCTCCAATTACTGGAAGGTGGTAGTCGAGGCCAGCCCAGAGACTTGGGCAGGGAGGGGGTGTCAGTATCAGTTGAGCATATGAAATCATCAATTCTTCATCAGTTTTGACCTTAAAAAAAAAAAAAAAGACAATTTCACATGCATTTTCTCAGTGCAGGGCCTGTCTGGGAGTCAGGCTGTTCTCGGGGGTCTTTGGAGTTGTTCGTCCATTTTGGGTCCTGGGAATAGTCTGTCAGCGGTACTGTGACCAGCCACCGAGGACAACTGGTCAGGGACCACAGACCTGTTGACCATCTGGCTAGCCATTTGCTACTTGGTCATTCACCTAGTTTTTTGGGACCAGTCACCAGGAGGCAGCCGGCTGGCCCGGTGGGGGCGGGCGGCCAAGAGTTTTAGTAAAATGTCTGGGAGAAAGACCAGGATCGCTCAAGGGCATGGTGGGAGCATTACTGCTTCTGACCCCACTTGGTTGTCTGGTTTGGAGTGTGGAAGCCTAGTAGGTCGGAGAGACCATCTCTTAGGAGTGATGATACACAGACACGACCTCACAACAACTGAAGGGAATATCTGTTCCTTCTCAGGCTGCAGACAGGGCTCAGCCCGCCCCTGACACGGTCACAGGCCATGAGGGGGTGACCCCGAGAGCCCTAGGGTCTCTGACCCATGTTCTTTGCAGCGAGGCTTCTTTGGACTAGAAGCCGCCTCCATAGACCAGGAGGAGCGCCTCCCCTGGTAGCTCGCGGTTATTTCTTTTAAAACTTCATTTCTTTAAAAAAAAAAAAAAAAAAAAAAAAAAAAAAAAAACAACTTCATTTCTTATTAGAGTCCAGGTCAATTAAACAGAACCTGAAAAAGGTTGGAACGGGAGAATGGAGGGGAATAACTGAGCTAGTTCTCATCCCACCACCCAGCCCCCAGCCCCATGACCACGGAAACAGTTCCATGCCCTACTTTTCCTTATTCTGTAAATACCTTTTACTTTCTCCAGCTTGAGTTTTTACATGGAACTTTTAATTCATGCTTATTTTTCCATATTATTGCTAGTATTATTTATAGACTTTCAACAGTTAGATAACCTATAATTTGATAGTTTAATTTCCTAATCCATATTCTAATTTTGCAACGGCAATTTACTCATTTAATGCGCTAATATTAGTAGTATAGAGTGTATCATTTTATACTGTATATGTTATGATAATTTATTGTGACTCACTGTAGAGAACCCATTAGGTGGTAAGCAGTGTTCTGCTGTTCTGGTTTGGACGTCTCTTGTGCAGAAACCGTTTCTGTGGTGAGGTGTTTCCCTTAGGATGAGGTCCCCCAAGTGTATTACCAGGTTGAAAAGCAAAAACTTGATCAGGCTTCCGATCTCTGGGGCGCCGACTGACCTCCCAGAAGGCTGGTGGGTTTCTCCAGCTTGGGCTGTGAATAGGGTTGTATTACCAGCCAGCCTTCTCTGACACCCAGGTCCCTGGGCCATACTCCGTCCATGACCACGTCAGACCTCTCCACACACTCCACCACCTCGCTCATCAGCAATGAGGAGCAGTTTGAAGACTATGGTGAGGGGGACGACGTGGACTGTGCCCCCAGCAGCCCCTGCCCCGATGATGAGACCAGGACCAACGTCTACTCGGACCTGGGATCTTCAGTGTCTTCCAGGTGGCCCTGGGGTCTGGAATGGCATTTGGGGTACAAGGAGAAGTGGCAGAACCAACCCAACCTCATCCCAGGGGTGTTCAGAGGGCAGAGTCCTAAGCTGCATGGGTTCTGCTCCCAGGGTTTGGGGGTGCTGCCTCTGCACACTGGTTGGGGATCTACAGTTCCTTCTCCCTCCTCCTATCTTGAGGAGGAAACAAAATAAACCCACCTGGGAGGCTGCAGACTCGGGGGTCTTCTTTGTCTTGCTTCCTAGGAGAACCTTGGGGTTGAAGGATCCTTCTCGGTGACACATATACCTAGTCATTGCTTACTCTGCCTGTAGCTCTCAGTTGCCATATCTGTGAAATGGGCTTCTCATTCATTGGCTTGTCAGAGTATTAAGGGAAGGAAGATCTATTGCTGTATTTCTACTTCCTCTGCCCCTAAATGCACACACACTAGGGTCACCAGTAGCGAAATCCGGTGAAGCAAGCTCAGGAGGATGGGCTGAGGCTGCAGACTGGAGAGCAGGGCATGATTTCCTTCTCTCTCCTGATTCAGCGCGGGGCAGACTCCTAGGAAAATGCGCCACACCTACAACAGCGAATTGCTGGATGTTTACTGCTCTCAGTGTTGCAAGAAAATCAACCTGCTGAATGACCTGGAAGCCCGACTGAAAAACCTGAAGGCCAACAGGTGGGGCCCCAGGAGCCAGCCGAGGGATAGGAGGCCAGGACTAGGTGGGGCGGGGTGGGGGGGTACCCAGCAGGGGAAGCCGCAGGCGAGGTGGCCCCCCTATGTCTGGGCAATGAGAGCACTGTCAGAGGAGGATTGACCCTGGGGAGCTTGCATTTTTCTGTGACAGGAAGATCGGGGTGCTTCTAGTTGGGACCAAAGCTGATGGGTGAATTCCCTGCTGGGGGTGGGACAGAGCCCTGTACTGCACTTCGGTGGTCTTGCAGGCAAGGTATAGTAAGCGATGGGCTGGAGCCCCTTCTGTTCAATGACTGTCCTCTCTTTATATATATATTCTCTCTTTCTCTGTAGCCCTAACAGGAAGATCTCTAGCACAGCCTTCGGACGGTAAGGCCCCCCTTGGGAGGAGGGGTTGAATGCTGTCTCCCTTAACTATGTTCCTATTGCCGGGGCCGCCAGCTGAGCGCCCAGAGGGGAATGAAGAATCCCAGAAGTGCAAGCCAAGTGGCCGGAAGAGGTCTACTTCTGAAAAAGAAGGGCCCCACTCCTCCCGCCCCCACACTTTGCGCCTTCTGGCGCTGGGCCAGTTGGCCTCTCCCCAGCCCCTGGCTGTTTCAGCTTTAGGCGGGCACATCGGGGATGCCCCGAGAGACCCAACCCATTTCCCAGCCCTTGGTGGCCCTCTCCACACTTGGGGGCCAGCAGCTGGGCCAGCACCTCCTGGGGCTCCCGCTCACAGAGATTGGACAGCAGGTGCCCCATTGGAACTGGTCACGTGGCTCCAGGTTACAGCCTGCGCAGCTGACCTCCGGGCACTTCCAGGATCCCATTCTGGATCTCAGGATCCATGTTGTCCTACAGACTGGGCTGGGTCCATGCCTGGGGCTCTGGGAGCTGCTGGCGGTAAGCACCCAGGCTCTGGCTCGGGAGCAGGGCTGGGACAGGAGAGCCTGCTGGTAGAGACGCTGGCTGCTGCCTGGCAGGGAGCGGGAAGTGGGAGCCCCTGGAGAATGGGAGCTGGGTTTTGCTTCCAGCAGGAGTTCCCCAGGCACATGTTTCCTGTTTGCAGACCCACCTGGCCCACTGCCCTGCCCAGTCTGGGTGGGCCTCCTTCCCTCTGCCCTCAACCAGGGTCCCCAGGGATGCAGCAGAGCCAATTTGACGGAGGGGATTGAGTCTTGGGGGGAGGCCCCCTACTCCTCCCTCACCCCTGCAGTCCCCAGAGGGCTGGCCTCTGTAGCCCACCTCCCTCCTTCCCACAGGCAGCTCATGCATAGCAGCAACTTCAGTAGCAGTGACGGCAGCACTGAGGACCTGTTCCGCGACAGCATTGACTCCTGTGACAATGACATCACGGAGAAGGTGGGTCCTGGGAGGCCGGAAGACGGGCTTCATGTGTGCGTGCTCTCTGGGGGTCGTGGGAGGGTGCCCACAGCTCTCTGGGGGTCTGGGAGGTGGAGACCCTGTCCTCGCTGCAGGAGGTGGGGAAAGGCAGCCCTGATAATGTGGGCACATATGCCCACACCCTCCCCACCCTCCGTATGCAGTCCCCTGGGGGCCTGACCATCCACGCCACGGTTTCTGCTGCTCCGTCCTGTGGGCTCAGGGGTCTCCTCCTCCCCCACCACTGCCTTCCTTTTGCAGGTGAGCTTCCTGGAAAAGAAGGTGACCGAACTGGAGAATGACAGCCTAACCAACGGGGACCTGAAAAGCAAGCTGAAGCAGGAGAACACGCAGCTGGTGCACAGGTCGGGTCAGGGGGCTTGCTCAGGGGGCTCTGGCTGTGACTCGGGAGCAGTTGTTGGTCTCTGTTGTGAGGGCCCCTGAGAAAAGCTGGGGAGGTCACCAGCATGTCTTGTCCCTCCCCTCTAGATTTGTGATGCATCAGCCCCTTGCTATTTGGCCCTGCCCCTGCAGGTACCCCAGAACTGGTCTCTGGGGACTCAGAAATGGGTTGGAGCTTGACCTTGACACCCAGGTGTGCAGCCCCGGGGTGGGCAGGAGTTGGGATCCACTCTATTTCTCTGACCGACAATGAGGAGTGTCTGATCCCCACCCCCCAACCGTCGGGGGCTTGCACCTGCTGCTGGTGGAAGGGCCCGGGCTTCACTGCCCCCTACCCACCCCCCCCAGGGAGGCCCACTCACCGTGACTGCAGCGAGGTAGCACATATAGAGTGTAGTAGTCCTCACAGGATGGCATGACACTTGGTAAAATGATCCCCAGCGGGGCTCTGGTCCTCAACCTTGTAGGGTCCAAGGATGGGTTCTCCTGGACACCCCAGAAGGTCAGCCTCCTAGAGGAACTATTACCAGTGAAATGTATGCTAGACTGCTCCATCAGCTAGGCTGCCGGTGGGGCCCAGCCCTCTCCTGGGTCTGGCACACTCAGGGCCACTATCAAAAGACTTGCCTGTTTTTGGAATCAAGGCAGCCAGTCGCTGACTTCTTGTCAGAGGGCAGTGGCCAGGAAGGAGGCGAGCAGAAAGAGGAGCAGGGTCCCGGGGGCTGCTTCATGCAGCCAGGGCGAGGCCTGCCATACTTCCCCATGCCTGGCCTGGGAACGCCGCCTTCCCCGTGCAGCCTTGCTCCCCTCTGGACCAACCGCCAGCTCCTCCTCTGGGTGGTGAACTTGGCCTGTCCACCTCCCCTTCTGTGATGTGGTGTCCCAAAGTCATGTCAGCGAAGCTGCCAACCCCCAGGCCTGGAAAATAGGCCACCACTTCCCACAGTGGGGCTGTTACTGAGCCGGGGTCTTGGGGCCAGGGGCTCCCAGAGTCACAGCCAAGGTTGGGGTGGGAAGACAGCAGCCATGAGAGCTGGCGCTGGACCAGAGTGTGCCCTCCCCTCCACAGGGTGCACGAGCTGGAGGAGATGGTGAAGGATCAGGAGACCATGGCCGAGCAGGCCCTGGAGGAGGAGGCGCGGCGGCACCGAGAGGCCTACAGCAAGCTGGAGAGGGAGAAGAGCACGGAGATCGAGCTGCTCAACACCAGGTGGCCCTCTCCCCAGAGCCCTCTGCCCTCCGACGCGCCCTCCAGTCCTTGTGCAGGCCTGGGGCAGGCACTATCCCCATCATGGAGATAGGAACACAGAGCCTGAAAGACACAGAGCCTGAAAGGAGGCTCCCTGTTCTGACAGTTCTCCTCTTGATAGCTGAGCACCTGGACGTGTTTCCCCGGAAGTACATAACAGAACCTTTGTAGTCCCACTTTCACACCAGGTACAACTGGAAACAGCACAAGCTGTCAAGACAACAGGTGGAAAAACGTCTTCCCCTTGTCCTGGGCTGGGTCTGATGTCCAGGCTCGGAGCTCCCCCTGCTGTCAGATTCTCCCTGACCCTGAACACGGGTGCATTGACCCGGGGCCCCAGGGGCCAAGGTGAATGGAAAAGCAGGGCCTGGTTTCCTCAGGGCTTCTGAGCTGCAGGGATAGCTGCTGGAAGCTGAGGCTGGTAGAGAGAGGAGTAATGACCTGGGAATCTGGGTTGGTCACTCTTTAGCTCCATGACTTTGGACTACCATGTCCTTTCCTGGGCCTCTGTTTCCCCATCTCTCATCCCTCCCTCCCGGCCCACCAGAGTGACCTGAAGGCAGGTGAGTCAGGTCCCCGTGGCCCTCACTAATGAGTCAGGCCGGTGAGGCCCCCTGGAGGCCACCTGGATCCCTGGCAGGGAGGACACCTGCCCCTGTGCTCCTAGGGAGCCCTGGGGAGCCCAGAGGGCAGTGGAGGCCTGGAAGCCATTGCTCCAGGAAAGAAGGAACAAGTGCAAAGGAGAGGAAATGTTCTGTAGGGATCAGTGGCAGAAATGACCCCTCCCTGTTCCGTTGCCATTGACATAACAACCTCGGGCCCCCTTCTCAGGTCATTACGATGACCTGGGTACCTGGGCTATGTCTCCCCGTGGAATCCCATTAGCATGGCCCCCCATGAACACTGACACAGAGGATTACGACCGTCAGAATCTATGTCTGTGGGTATGCAGAGGCAGCTGCTGGCAGGCCAAGCAAAGAGTCTAGGAGGCAATGCCAGGGGGAGAAAGACAAGCAAATACTGTTCCTCTCTGAGTGTGAGTTCTAACAGGAAGGCCCAGCCGCAGCCACCCACAGGAGGACTTTCTCTCTGTTTAGCAGAAAAACATCCCCTGTGTTGTTTCAGGCTCTGAGGACACATGCAGAAAGAATCCTGCGCTCTTACTCACAGATGAGTGTTTTCTTTTATCAGAAACATAAGGATGGTCATTCAGTGTCTTTACCATTTGCCTTGGGTGACAGGAAGCTCTTATTTGCTCTCTGTTGCTTCCTGGTACCTTCCCTTGTCCAGGCAGCAGGGAATCGCCACAAATTGTCGATCTATTCTAAGCCCCTCTCCTTTCCCCAGGGTGCAGCAGCTAGAGGAGGAAAATGCTGAGCTCAGAACAACAGTGACCCGGCTCAAGGCACAGACGGAGAAGCTGGACGAGGTGAGCGGCAGGTCTGGGTGTCTCAGACTTGGGTCTTTTATTGTTCTTTTTAAGATTTTATTTATTTTATATGACAGAGAGACACAGCGAGAGAGGGAACACAAGCAGGGGCAGAGGGAGAGGGAGAAGCAGGCTTCCCGCTGAGCAGGGAGCCTGACGAGGGGCTCGGTCCCAGGACCCTGGGACCTGAGCTGAAGGCAGATGCTTAACACTTAACAACTGAGCCACCCAGGTGCCTGCGCCTTCTTGAGCTGAATCCCCAGAGAAGCAATGTTGGCCACAAAGGCCTTCAGTTGCTAGTTTCTGGAATTCTAGCAGAATTGCCCTAACAGCAGCAACAACAGGCAATAAAATATGAATAGTAATTTGCCTTTCTATATTTTTGATTTTCCAAGTTTTTTTTTTTTTTAAGATTGATTGATTGATTGATTGATTTGACAGACAGAGATCACAAGTAGGCAGAGAGGCAGGCAGAGAGCCGGCGGGGCGGGCAGGCTCGCTGCTGAACAGAGAGCCCGATGCGGGGCTCGATCCCAGGACCCTGAGGTCATGACCTGAGCCCAAGGCAGAGGCTTAACCCACTGAGCCACCCAGGCGCCCTCCAAGTTTATTTTTTAGAGTGAATGTAATAAATAATAAAAAAGAGAGAAGGAGGTTAGCTTCTGTTTGGCCACCCTGATTCAGGTTTCTTCTGCCACCACTGAAGGACGTCAGAGGCCTGGCATTTTTTCAGCTGTGTTTCTAGAATCCTAAGGGACCTGGCTGTTTCTTTCTTTCTTTCTTTCTTTTTTTTAAGATTCTATTTATTTATTTGACAGAGATCACAAATAGGCAGAGAGGCAGGCAGACAGAGGCAGAGAGAGAAGCAGGCTCCCTGCCGAGCAGAGAGCCGGATGTGGGGCTCGATTCCAGGACCCTGAGATCATGACCTGAACTGAAGGCAGAGGCTTAACCCACTGAGCCACCCAGGCACCCCCTGGCTATTTCTTTAAGCCGTGACTCCAAGGGCTCTGTGCCTGAGGCTGACGCAGATCCCCACTGAGTCCCCAGGGCATAGGGAACCTCTCTGGGACTGCTCTGCCCTGACCCGGTCACCCTCCCCACACACACACCCGGCCCCCCACTCCAGGAGCGGCAGCGCATGTCCGACCGGCTGGAGGACACGAGCCTGCGGCTCAAGGATGAGACTGACCTGTACAAGCGCATGATGGACAAGCTGCGGCAGAACCGCCTAGAGTTTCAAAAGGAACGGGAGGCGACACAGGAGGTGGGTCCCGGGACGGGGTTGGGGGGTGGCGGTGGGGAACGCCAGGGCTCGCTCCCGCCGGCCCCACCACCGCCAACCTGCCTGTCTCCCACACAGCTCATCGAGGACTTGCGGAAGGAGCTGGAGCACCTGCAGATGTACAAGCTGGACTGCGAGCGACCGGGCAGGGGTCGCAGCTCGTCCTCCAGCCTGGGCGAGTTCAGCGCCAGGGCCCGCGAGGTGGAGCTGGAGCATGAGGTCAAGCGGCTCAAGCAGGTGGGCGCCGGGCAGCCTTCCATCCCTGAGGGCTGGGTCTCCCCAGAGGGGCTGAGAGCTGCGGCACCACCTTCCCCCGGCTGGCGGGGCTGCTCAGGCCCAACTTGCTGCTCAGCAAGGTGGCTTCCCTCCCGGCTGCGTCTCATGCAAACCCCAGGGCCTTTGCTTGGACACCACTCTGCTCTCCTTGGTGATGGGGGGAGAGTGAGACTTTACCCAGTTACAGATTGGTGTCTTGCTGTGTTGGCTCCTCCCAGAAGCAGACCCCGAGCCCAGGGTTCCATTTCAAATAACTCCTGGGAGCAGTCCTGTGATCGGAGACCAGCTGGGGGAAGTGGGATCAGTGGGGGGCAGAGACCAAGCAAGGGCGTGCTGGTGAGTGAAGCCCCCACTCCGCAGCCTGACCCTGGGGGTAGGGAACTGCTCTAAGTTACACCCCTGAATCGGCCTTTCCTGCATCCCACAGCAATCCTAAAACCCCAGCCCTTCCTCGTTCATGACAGGATGTCCAAAGTCCCAGGTGTGAGCACTTAGGAGACTTTGGGCAAACGCTAGCATGTGGTGTCGGCCCATGGGGTCTGGGCAGGGCACGGTGGGGCCACCTGCACTCAGGAGGAAAGGTGCCCCTGGAAAGAGTTCTCCCGGAGCAGGATTCCTGAACCTAGCTACGTACGGAAGGAGCCTAGATCCGGCCTGCCGGCCCAGAGACCCCAGAGCCTCACTCTTTACAGAGGGCCGCTGTTGGAAAAGGAGCCACCCGGTGGGCCATGTCCCCATGTGGGGCATCAGGAGCTCCTCTTCTGGCTCATCCTCCCCCAGGGAGGAAGCGTAGACAGGAGCCCTGCCCCTGTCTGGAAATGTAGTTCCCCCGAGCAAGCCTGTAACTCCTCCTCAGGACCCTATGACCTCCCAAGATCCAGACCTCCACCCTAAGCCTGGCAGAGGCCGCATCATGTATAGGCTTCTTGAGCTGGCCATGACACACACAAGGGGAGGGTACTGGTAGCAGTCTGGAGACAGTGAGTGCCAAGAAATGGGTTCTGGTGGGTTCTGGATGCTTTTGGGAGTTGATGTTGCCTTTGTCCTCCTGCACAGGAGAATCATAAGCTGCGGGATCAGAATGATGACTTGAATGGACAGATCTTGAGCCTCAGCCTCTATGAAGCAAAGAACCTCTTTGCCACCCAGACCAAAGCCCAGTCTCTGGCTGCAGAAATAGACACAGCCTCTCGTGATGAGGTAATGTGCCCATTCCTTCTTCCTTTGGCGCCTCCGCCCCTCCTCTATGAGTCCTGTCCCATCCCTGTGTGCTGTGATGATAAGCCCCAGGCCACCCCGAGCAGGAAAAGCAGCCCAGAGCCTGTAGGTGGAGCTGCGTCAGTTCTGATGTCCTGCACGTGCTGGGAGAAGCCGGGGTTTGGGAACAGAGTGGAGTTTGAGTCTTTGCTCCACCAGAAGCATGCCGTGGATCAGCAGACTTGCTTCCATCAGCAGGTAGTGCGGAGAGGCTAGAATTCCTCTCCCTCAAGCCAAGAGGGGAAGGACCCTAGCCTTTCCTGAGCAGCTGCCTGTCTGTATCTTCTGACAACTGGAAGGCTTTCTGGACGCTTCCATGTTGCAGATTGGGGAACCAGGACACAAGATCACCCAGCCTGGGAGTGAAGGACCCAGGTCTCCAGAACAGAAGTCCATCCTTTCTGCCCTACTAGGGTGTGGTTACGAAGGCCCAGGCCTCCAGAATGCCCTGGTTACATTTTAACATCAATTGGAAGAAGTCCCTAAACCACCTAACCCCGTGCTTAGGACACAGAGCTAAAAGCCCATCCCTAGTCTCGGGGGGCTCCCGCCTGGAGGCAGAACCAACATTTTCTCCTAAAGGACACATCAGGAATGGACCCACACAGGCGGGGCTGGGGTGGTGACAGGGCCATTCCAGGTAGAGGAAACAGCCAGAAGCCGTAGGAGTCTTAGGGCCCTGGGACTTGGGATTTCGTTCTTGATCATAGATGTCTTTGGCCAGTGTCCTCAGCCTGTCCCACTTGGGTCCCTCCACAGACCACCCGGGGTTGGGGCCTGGGCAGGTGCACAGCTCACACTCCTCAGGTGTGAGCGGCTGCTGCTTTAGCTGGTTCCAGCGGCTGAGTGCCAAGGTTGGTCCTGGGGCCTGCCTTGCCCAGGGTCTCCTGAGCCCCTTGGTCGTCGGGCACTGGCTCGCATGTGAGCTGACAATCAGCTACCTCTGCACCAGAGCCCGGGCCTGGCCTCTGACCTACATCTCCCATTCCCTCCAGCTCATGGAAGCCCTGAAGGAGCAGGAGGAGATCAACTTCCGGCTGAGGCAGTACATGGACAAGATAATCCTCGCCATCCTGGACCACAACCCCTCCATCCTTGAGATCAAACACTGAGACAAGGGCTGGCTGCAGAGCAGCCTTGGGGACTCAGACCCCCGGACCCTGGGACCAAGGGGCAGACCCTGCTTGGGGATGCAGCCCAAGCCGGGCCACACACGCACTCGCGTGTGCGCATGTGTGTGCGTGAGTGCACACACACACACACACACACACACACGCACACTGTAAATGTATCTCCGGCCACCACGTCATGTGTACTGGTGTGTATGTGGGGGAAGCCGTGCACACAGCAAGGGGTGAGCGTGGGGCCGTGGGTGTGACATCTGTGCCCTTCCTGTCCCCTCATTCTGTGGCCTGTCTGCAGGGGCAGATGGTCCAGGATGTGGGAGGGGCAAGGTCTGCGATCGGGAGTTACTGTAATAACAAGAACTGGAAGATGGCGTCTCAGATACTGGACAAAAATGATTCTACCTCTGGGGAGGAGGATTAAAACATGCTCTAGTGAGACAAGCTCTTTCACACCAGTCCCCGTTCCCTCTGGGAGTGGGAGCCGATGTCTGATCTTTTTCAGGAACTCGAATGCCCGACGACTACATCCTCCCCAACCTTTGACCACCTTTGAAGCCTAGGTGCTCAGGCCCTCCCAGAGCCCCCTCCCCAGCTGGCAGCCCCCACGATCCTTGGGCACTGTGTGTCCAAAGGACTCAGGCCTGCAGAGGCCCAGGTAGCGTGGGGCGACCTTCATTCCAAGAGTTCTTGGTATTTTTAGAGTTCCCTGTACACCTCCCCATCCCCGCTTACCTACCTCTTTCTGTTTTATTTTTAAGACCGTGAAAAATAAGCAGCATTTAACTTGGGTGTACAATGAAGGGATTCAAAGGAAGGAGCCGGGGGACACTGTACGTGTTGGCATGGGCCATCCAGAGACCTGCTTTTCAGAGAGGAGCACGCTCACACCCCTGTTCGTTTCCTTCCCGCTGCTGCGTCCTAGGAACAGCGAAGCACGGGAGGGACTGTTTCCATGGCATCGGTGGGCGGGGAGTGGACCTTCCTTGCTGCCCAGCTCTCTGGTCTCCGCAAGGCCTGGGGATTCTGAGCTCTGGGCTTGGCTCAGCTGGGTGTCCCCCACCCCCACCCCCGACCCCGGATCCCAGCTTTTAGAAACACTCTTGCATTCTGTTCTCAGCCCTGCGAGGTGTGCTGGTGAGAGACACAGTTGGACGTTGCATGGAAACCTTAACCTTCCATCCTCAGTGGCACGTGGGGGAAAGGCACCCTCTGGATTTTTAATGCGATCTTTGGTCTTGGGCAGCTGGGAGTACATAGGGTACTTTGAGTTTTCCCATTTGTCTCAGTGGTACATGGCTTGTGATTCGTTTCCTTAATCCGAGTATGTATAAATATGTATGGTCTTATTTTTTCCCCTGCAGTTTCTTGTTGTCTTCAGCAATTCTGGTGGAAAAAGGAAGGTCTGGGCATGTTGGGGAGAGGCCTTGAGGGGTGTTTTCAGAGAAGAGAGGACAGTAGAGGGTGGAGAGGGGCTTGGGGACTGGGGGATGAATGTTTCCTGTTCACAAAGGCAGGACCGGTCTTCACTCCCTGCCGGTCAGCTTCTGCTGCTGTTGGATCGCGTGGTTTCTCTCTAAGCCTATGTGTGGGCTTTCACGCCACAGATAATGGGGCTGCGTTGGTCTGATTCAGGACTTTGGGGTCACCCACCCCAAGAAGACTAGGGCATTCAGTGTTCTGAGAGTGTCTCAAGCCCGTAGGACACTGGTGTCCTTGGGCACCTCCTCGGTTCCGAGTAGCAGCAGCAGCAGTAGAAAGCAGGAGTAGGTCTCTTGAGAATTTGCTAAGAGGCGGGAATGGCCCCCAACTAAAGGAAAGGAAAGAAGACGTATCATGACTTGGCTTTAGTCTGGATTTTCCACTGGAAGGAGTCCTAGGGAGGCCAGCCGCATCATGGTCCTTGTGCATGCAGGATTCGCCCCGGGGGTGAGCATTTTATATGTAAAACTTTCTGTGCCCTTTAGCTGCACTGATAGGGAATTCCAGAGAAGGCCCCAGAGGCCTGGATTATACAGTCACTATGGGGATGGGAATTTCTGCTTTTGGAAAAGGGGGTGGAAAGCCATCGACTTGCAATGTTTTGCTGCCCCCTTCCTGAAGGGGGCGCTTCGGCAGTGGCCTTCCTAAGGAAGCCTGAGTCTGAAAGGCCCCTAGGGACCGTCCTGGTGCTGGCCTTGAGGTCTCTGGAAGAGGGCCGACTTTAAAGTGAGGCGAAACTCCACATCTTCACCCAGGCGTCACCCATCCAACCTTCTTCAGCCGAAGTTGTCTTATGAAACCTAGGCTGTCGTTCCAGTTGGTGTTTGTAAGTGTTCTTCCACGAGTGAGAGCTAGTCCACGGGAGGCCCATGCCCCGGTGTCCCAAACCACGGCCCCCAGCGAGAGTACCCAGAGGTACTAACTCTGGGAGCAGGTGCGGCAGACCCCGCCCCCTTCCTGGGCTGCCCCCCTCCTTTGTCTGTTGTCTAGTTGGGAGGTCTGCCGCAGCTGCCAGGTAGTACCCACAATGCCCCACTTGGTGTGCATTACAGGCGAACAGAACAGACCTCCCAGGAGTTGTTCTGTTCCACGCAGTACTTGGGACACGTCTGAAATGGAGAGATTTTTAAAATTCTGATAACCTGGGCCGAACTCCCAGAGGTTCAGCGTCATTGGTGTGGAGTGTGGCCTGGCTGTTGGAATGTTTAAAGAACTCCCCAGATGATTATAACTTAACTGAGTGCCCGAGGTGTGATTTGTTTTGATTTGTTTTTGTTTGTTTGTTTTTGCTAAACCAGGCAACTCTACCAAGTAGGGATTAGTAGTAACTCTTCCAAAGTTGTGAGGTGTTTCGGGGGCACCCGGAGGGGGTCCTGCAACAGACCCACATTTTACACGGCACTTGACTATCCTTAATTCAACGGGAAGCCAAACAATTTGCAGAATCAGTGAGTGAGCTTTATAAAGTTCTAGTAAAAAAAAAAAAAAAGTACATATTTTTAAAATTTGAATTGGCCAAGTTAGACATATTATTTTAAGCTTGTAGATTCTTTGAGAATTGTCAGAGGGAAATTCCTTTATTTTGACTTTATTTTTCACTTATTACAAAAACAGAGCCCAAGAACCTCCCAAAGCACTTGGACCGGAAACAGTGGTTTTCAGCTTGGGCTGCGCAGTGGGATAACCTGGGAAGATTTTCGAAATTCTGCTGACTGGCCTGAACCGGCCGCCGCCCCACCCCAAGATTCCAATTTAATTGGCGTGGGTGTGGCCCAGGCATCCAGATATTTAAAGAGCTCCCCAGGCCATGCTGATGTGTAGCCCAAGGTGGAGACTAGAATGTTCCGGTCAGGGGTGGAGAAAAGGGGTGGAACTGGCTGCAGGGTTTGTTAATCCAGGTGCTACCTTAATGGTGGGGGTGTCGGTGGTGGCTTTGATGGGTGGTGAGAAGTGAGCAGATCCCTCACCCCACCCTGGCCTGGGAGGCCAGATGCCTTCAGGAACTGGCGTATCCAGCTGTTTTCCGCAGCCTGGGGGTAAGCAAACCTGAGTGGGCAGGTCTCTCCCTGGTGCCTATGGAATCGCGCATGGGCCCATTCTGGAGTCAGGGGTCAGGAAGGGCTGTACCCCTGACGACAGCCCCAGAAACAGTCCTCTACTTGCACAGCCGAGCAGGAGGGGATGCTTGCTGGCTTTGTGGGGTTTATCTCTGATCCGTTTTCAGGCTGGGTGGACGAGCGTCCCCCCAGCTCTTCCACTGTTAGTAGCCAAACCAGCATCCCGGCCTATGTTCTGGAGGCTCTGGGGCCCTCATCTGCTGGCAAGTCTCGTTCCTGACCCCATCAGGTCTGGCGGTCAGGGGGTGTAGATGCTTCCGTTCCAATAAGGGGCTTCATAACCAGCAGAAACCTGCAGGGGCCAGTGGGGCCTGGTGGCTCAGTGAGGAATTAAGCCACTTTTTGTGCTCTGTGGCTCTGTGTGTTCAAAGCAGTAGCAAATTTAAACCCAAAAGCCAGGGAAGTTTGGGGATGGTCACCATGCCAAGGAAATGACTATTTGCCTGGCAGGTCCACAGTGACTCTGAAAACACTGGGGAGGGTTTTAGGTTGAGGACTTCAGTGCTGGCATCCCCCCTGGGCCGTGCCTGCTGAGGGGGCTGTAAGCCAGAGGGGCCACATACCCCCCATGTGACTTCAGGTTCCTTCCCTTGACGCGCTGACCTTAGGGACCTTCTGGGCCTGCCCTAGCCTCGTGGCAGAACAGCTCTAAGGCCCTTCTGCCACACTCTGCTGCCTACCCAAGAAAATCGGCCGCCTTCTGGAAAGGCTTCTAAAAGCATAGACCCTGGTGAAGTGTGATGTCATAGGTCACTCCGATCTTTTAGGCTCCTCCTCTCTCCCCGGGACTGTAGGGGGAGGGCTATCTGCCGTGAGCCAAGGGTGGCTGAGAATGGCAGGGCCATGGCCGCCTGCTACCTGGGGGAGACTGCGCCTCCTGCCGGGCCCCTGGGGAGGGGGAACCTCACCTCCTGCCAGGCCCCACTGCTTTGCTGTGCTGCACAGGCCTTGTTTTGTCTGCATGGTTTGGGGTCGTCGTCCTTGTGCCTTTTTTCTTCTCTGTCGCCACTGTACAGGAGTTTCCATGTCCCCACTGCCCCTTTTCTACATCCTCTCTTTTCCTCTGGTCCTTCCCAAGCTCTGTAAATGTGTACATAGTGCCTCCACGGCGCCCGGAGTGCTCCTGGGCCAGCCCCCGCCCCGCCCCCCGCACACTGATCCACTCCGAGAGGCTCAGCCTTCCCCTCTGCTCGCTCCACCTTGCAGACTCGGTAACTTTGTACAGAACTCTTTTCATTATGGTCTTAGCTTCCAGGGCTTGGACCCACTTAACGCCTCCACCCCTGGCACCCCCGTGTGGCCCACCGCTAGTTTAGAAGCCTTGCACACCAGAAAAGGGTAACTTTGTGTAACACACCTTCTCCCCCAAACCTCTTCCTGTATTGGTGTCAATATTTCTAGAAAGCAGGGCGCCCCTTCCTCTCTGCGGGTCTGCGGGTCTGCAGCAGCGTCCCTGGCCCCGGGGCTGGGAAACTCCCACAGGGGGACTCCCAGTGCTTGGCATTCAGCCGCCTTCAGGATCACGGCTGCCTGGTGTCTCGAACAGCCTTGGACTCCAAGTGGGCAGAAAGAAGAGGTGTCTGGCTGCTGCTCTGGCCGGTCACTAACAACAGCCGAGCTCTTCCTCCTCTGCCCAAGGTGCTCAGACCCGAGTGCCATTAATCCCCCCACTGCCGGGCTACGGGCTGCGCTGCGGGGGCGGGGGGGGGGGACCTTGTTGAGGTCTCGCTCTCGGCCTGCCAGCTCCCTCCATCCCAGCTCTTCCTGCTCTCTTGGCTAGGTTCCTGGGGCCCAGACTGGATAAGGTGCACATGTGGCCTCGTGCCCAAGGGTTGGTTAGACAAGCTTTGACTCTGTGGGATTCTCCCTGAGTCTCACCCCAGGAGCCTCCATCTGGAAGCAGGCTTAGCTCTGGCTCTGGGACAAGATATCCACTCCCAGGGGAAGGGGGAGGGGGAAGGCCCAAAGCTCCCCTCCCCCCGGGGGCCTCGAGCTCTCTGCCCACTACCTGCTTCTAGCCAAAAAGGAGCAGGCTCTCAGAGGCAGTCTCCTTCAGGAACTCTAATGTACAGACCAAGGTGTAAATAAACAGTTTGCTTTTCCTGCCTGACTTGATGGTGTGTTTCTGTGGTTGGGGGAGGGAGGGCAGAAGAGGGGAGACCTGGTTCTAGGGCTCCTGGGCACACACCAGCTTCTTAGGAAGAACAGGCCCTATCCAGCATCCCAGGGTGGCTAGTGCTGTCCTCCAGGAGCAGGGGGTCACCCCGCAGACCCTCATTTTGGCCCACTATCCCTAGGAGAGGAGATGGGGATCCCAGAGGCCCTGGT